TTAGTATAATTAGTTTTTTAAGAGTTATTAAAATTACATATTTATTTCAATTGCCTAATGTTGATAGATAAGCAAATTGAATTCCATTGTTGTGATTAAGTATTACTTTTCTAAAATTTTAGTTCGTAGTTCTAATATTACTCGTTGTGGGATCGATATCTAGGACTCCATTAGAGCCCTATATTACTTGAGCGATACGTATACTTGCGTTGATAAGTGTGACTTTACAATTGCTGAATATTTTATACATACATCTTTATCGAATCTATAACTGTTATTAAGTTTTTGGTACAGTTGCTGAGGAATTAAATCTTTTAGCAGCAGTATTAAACACTTATATTTTTAAGCATATATAAAGTCGCTGTCAGGTCCTTCCGTACAGTAAATCCAATTTGGTGTGCATATGCACAATATTATTCATAGGCTTTCTTCTCGTTATGAACCACTGTTCAAAACAAGCTTTCCACAATTGGATCAATGCACACAGTTACAGGCTCGGGGAACTGCAAATTTTAATATATTACCATTAGAATAACAGAAATAACGCCTAAACAAAACCAATTCATAAATCCAATAAGACTATGATGAAACAATACAAAAATAATACTTTAATACATAATACCACCATAAAAATACAGAAATAATACCATAATAACACAAATGTAGTTAAGAGATAATACAACAATAATACCATAATACAACCATAATAACATGGAAATAACACCAGAATAACACTAATTACAACAACAACATAACACCATGACAATACCAAAATAGATGGAATATATTATTGTTGTATTATGACATTATAATAAAATAAATGTACAGTTTAAAGTGACTGTCTTATTTTGGTGTTATTATGGTAATATTAAGATAATATAAGTGATTTTTTTCTGTCTGGTGATATTTTGCTGCTATTTTTGTTGTATTATGATTCTAAACCCTTAACCTACAAACCATGATAATACCTAGCCAACACCACACCCATCCTCCAACATAACAGTAATGTTACAATCAAATCATATAGTAATCAAACCAGAATAGCTCCACAATATTCCAATCATCCCTAAACCCAAATATCACCAGTAAATAGAAAGAAATAAGTTCACCTGCGGAACGGTTCAGCCCTCAGCTAATAAGCTAAGCTTATTGACATCATTCACGCAATCATTCACGCAGTCATTTTCCATCAGCATTTCTTAGTCGAGAGACAAATCCATTGGAAGAACTTTAGCTGAATAGCTGAGTACGAATGCAAATGGAAAAATAAAATATTTCCTAACACCTAAAAGGAATTAAAGCTGGAAATTTACGAATTGGCGGGATCCAAAATGCCAGAATATACAATTTGGCGGAATCAGAAAGTGACAAATAGACGCTTTTTTGATATTGGGCGGGGCTCAGGCCGGGTCACGCTGTAAAAACAATGTTTTCCGCTTATTTTTTTTGTTGGTGGGCCATAACTCCAGCTGTCAGTTTTTTATTGGCTACCGCAGATAACCCTGCGTGCGGTCTCCGGACTGAATAATTTTTCCTCAAAGACGCCCAGATTCTCAAAGCGAAAGCCGACTAGTATCCAGACCAAATAGCCGACCCAAACTAGCTAAGCAGGTCGACTTGAATACCTAACCAATCAAAAGGCTTAAGCACACAAAAAGAAACCAATATCAATTATGGACACGAGAGGACGTCAATATCAATTATGGATTTGAAAAAAGTGCCAATATCAATTTTGATTACAAAAATATGTTAAAGAGGTAATAATGATATGTAACACAATAACAGTGATGATATTCTTAATGTGATATGAAATAATTGGATGGTCGAAATGTAAAAATGTAAATTTTAATGTTAGATATGTAAATACATAATAAATGAGTGGTGTTGAGTGATGTGTATTTAAATGGGGGAGATAATTTGGTCATCTCACCCCAACCCCAACGATTATTACATCAGTAAACCAGTCGTAAATTCGTGTAAGGTATTCAATTAAAAAACACACACATTTTCTGTCCGGATATCTGACATATCTCTACGTGCGGTGCAGATTCTTCCTAAGTTATTTTAAGGTTATTTCTGGGTTATTTTCAATAATCCCGAAATAACCCATAAATAACCCAAACATAAAGAATGCAGGTCATTTCTGGGTTATTTTGGGATTATTGCAAATAACCCAGAAATAACCTGAAAATAACTCAGAAATATCCTGAAAATAACTCAAAAATATCCTGCAGGAGTTCCCACATAAAATTTTTTGAAAAAACACCCATCTTTTTGGGAAAATATTTGCGTACATAAGACGTACGCAGTGCTGCGTACGTTAGGGGTTATTCATGGGGTACAAGGGGGTTATATCCAGGTTATACCCCCTGTAACCTCCGTGTAACTCCCTTGTAACCTCCGTATAATTTATTTGTACCCCAAAAGCACGAAACTCATTTGTAGGTTATAAGTAGTTTACGAAGAGGTTACGAGGGGTTACAGAGGGATATAACCCCGATATAACCCCCCGCTGCATATGTCTTATATACGCAAATATTTTCGCTCTTTTTGAGTAATGTCCTCATGTAATAAAAAATCCAAACCACAACCACCTTCCATCCTCTTGAATATATCTTCTTGCTCAATTGCCCTTCACACCGCCCGGCCACGCTCTTAGGTCACGCCGCCCGCCTCGGTTTCTGCCTCTCTCTAGCACGGCGAATTCATCCCCGTCCCGCTCTTGAGTGTGAAGATATTGGAATCCTCCATTGAAACCCTGCCGGTCCTCTGCTCGAAGCGCCTAATTCGTCTCCGTCCCGTCTGATGGTTCGCTCCTCTCTCGAAATTCCAGTCGGAGAAAACCTGCCGGTCGTCTGCTCGAAGCGATGAAGCGTTTTGTGAGTTTTTTTTTTCCATCTAATCTAATTTCGTTCTCATCATTTGTGATTTATAAGACATTGAGATTAGATATGTATTTGATTTTCTCTTTTTATGTGGTATCTTTTTGTTTGTTTGCAGGTGTAAATGGCTGAACTTTTACTACTTCTCCCAGGTAAATTAGTTTATTTGATCATCATCTTTTGTTCAACGTGTAGTTAAATGATTGGGCTTTTTTTCTCCACTTTTTATGCTTTATTGAGATTTTGGAGAAGGCAATACAAATTTTTTCCATCACGAACAATCTAATAAGATTTGTTCCTAGTCATGAGCATATTTTTATATTAATTGGCTAATTTGTTGCATACTGGAGAAGCTTCTAGGACATTATAAAGTTTGAGTACCTTCTTTGGCTTAGTTTAGAGCAATTTCAGTTCACATACACCATGGAAGAGACCTTAGAAGGGAAAAAGGTCATGGAGCTTAGCTTTGTTGTAGCGATTTACTATTTTTGTAGAAAATCAGTATAATGTTGGCCCATCTTCAAGTAATTGGAAGGTATTAGTAATAGATGCCTCTCAAGAAATTAGAAATAGTAATGTTGAGGGTCTAAAGCTTGAGTCTCACATGTGAAGGTTGTATACTTAATTATTTGCTCTATTAGTGGCTGCCTTATTTTTAACTCCTAAATTTTCACATGCTATCATATATGACATTAGGTTTATTTATGTAATATAAATGCAATAAAGTGTCACTATATTTAGAGAATCATTTTACAAAAAAAAAGGTTGTTTTTAAAAGATCCATGATTTTTTTTAGCTTTGTTTAGTTACTTTATTTTTGTTATTTCATCACTTTAGCTTGTTAGCAAGCTTTAATGGATGATTAATGAATACAAATTTAATGAGCAAGATCCTTCCCAACTCTTTTTTCACTAAATGCGGTCGGTCATCCACCTATTCTTTTTCTTATTTTATATGGGTTGTGTATCCATTGTTTCCCTCCCACACCCCACCCCTTCTCAACCCACTCTCTTTTTCGCTATTCCTATTTTTCCCCTGTTCTTCATTTTGTTAATCCTATCATTTTCATCTTTGGGAGTTGGCACAAACGACTTGTTTTATCATGTCCATGCCGTCTCCGTTTTTCGTCCACATTTTTTTATCTGAGCAAAATATTCCTATATCAAGAATGATTCTTGGATGCATCGACCCCTTTGGCTCTCCTACATATTTAATGCTTGGCCCTTTAATTATTCATCAAGACATCACTATTTTTGTTCTATTTTCTACACTTAATACCTTAAAACTTTTATGTTCACTACTTTCACTTATATGTTATATATACATTCCAAAATTTTAGAATCCGATGATTCTACATTGCCTTCTAACCTAAGCAAGTTACATTGTCTTTTACCTCCAACACCATTATATTTGTCTACCACCAACAACACTACAACCACCACCAATCACCACCACTTGCAGCTTGATGTAAAACTGTTGAAATAAAATTCAAATTTTCAACTCCCTAAAATTTTGATCCAATTTTCGCTATTGGTGAGACATAAGTTGGGTAAGGTTTGTTTTCATTATCAACTTCTTAATTTAATATTATGATTTATATTCTTAATTAGTTCTCGAATCTCCATAGAAATTCTTATAGATACTTTTTAATTCGCTCAAAAATTCCTTTCTAAGTCCACAAAATAAATTAGCCAACAAATCTATTCCATACATTATCTTACCATTGTTTTGTTATTCACTTTCTTTTCGTCTGATTATTTTTTGATGCTATCTAAATCAAGAAGACTCCTTCTAAAGAAAGGTAGTAATAGATAAGTTCGGCTGCTCATAGAAGAGTTGATTTCCCTCTCATTCTTGGTTAACCACATCAAGTGTATATTGAGATTGCTTTCTTGTGTTATTCTTTGTCATCAACTATCTCTTCAACTCCAAATTCGCATTTAGCTCATCTTCGAGGTTTATCATTGAACATCATGAAAGGTTTTTTTTTTGTTTTAATTATGTTATACAGATCAAGGCTCATGAACTTGCATGAGTTTGGATTTATTTCATATTGTCATGATGTGATTATACATTCTTTAAGATTTTTATTGTAGAAGTTCTTATAGGGTTTCTTTTGATGACTTGATGCAATTTAACATATGACCCCACATGTATTGTTTATTGTTATTTTCTTTGAAAAAGAAGTTTTACATTTATTGCATGCATGCTGCATTGATTATTTCATTGAATCTGGCATATTGTTGTAGCTTTTTTCCTATTTATCATGAATCCATATTATCAATATTATCATCATCAACTTGATTGTAATAATTATTATTATGTAGCACACTCTATCCTTAAATATTCTGAGATTGTCTTTTTGGTATATGAGCTTACTTGATAAATATTACTTATCAAAATTTTTTCTAAATTGAGTTTGTTGGGGTCTTAGATTAAAGTTTTTGTTAGATCAAATTTTCAAAAGATTGATAGACATTGTGTTGTAAGTTTTTGGTTTAACATTAAATGCAACTTAAATAAGAATTTATATTTGTTTACTATTAGAAAGTTTTATTTACTTTAATTAATCACCACAAATAATATTATCATAATGTTTCTAAATATTATGACAAGTTTTGCATCGGACATTGTAGGTATAATCACCAATAACCCAAATTTAAACCTTTTTAATGTTGTCTCTACTCATAAAGGGACTAAGGTTAGATATTACATAGGAATATAAATTTAATGACTCTAAAGCTCCCGTTGACACTTATCATAGGGCCGTAAAGATAGGGAATTTTTCCTAAGAATCCTTTTCTAGGATCACTTTACCGCTTATCACTACTTTTAGAAATATTTTATCTTCATTTACATTTATGTGTATTACTTTAACATTGCCCACACCACCACCATCACAACTTAAATTTATGTCTAAACCTATCTAAGATGTTGACATAATGATACTCTTTTTAATAAAGAAGACTCAGAGTTAGAGGATTGTATGTTGACACACGAATTAGAATCTGAACTAGAGACAAATCTTGAGGATGGGGATTAATCCAAAGTCCGATCTACTCAAATTTGATATGCTGGTGGTTCTTGAAGTTTTGCTAATTTTGAATTTGTTTTACCTGGTGAGTTTGTGTTATTTTTATGTAATATCTCTATATTTTTATTGCACGAGCTTGAACATTGGTATCAACTTTCCACTGCATTGAAATAGATACTATTTGCAATAATGAAATTTTTCATGCAAAAGCTATTATCGATACTGATTATAATGATATTAGGAAGTTATCCTTTGATATTATTTTTCAACTTTGAACGGTTACTTTTTTACACTTTCTTCCTTTTTATTGATTATAAATCTTTTAAATTATCCATTATCAAAGGAAGTTGTCCTTTGATATTATTTTTCAACTTCGAACGGTTACTTTTTTACGCTTACTTCCTTTTTATTGATTATAAATCTTTTAAATTATCCATTACCAAGATAAGCCTTAACTACCTTTCAATTACTTTTTTTTCTACCATAATGCTGAACTTATGGATCACATAGTATCTATATATGCACTTATTATTATTGATTTAAACCAACATTTATTTTTTTTCAATTTTTGAGTCATTTACTAACTGAACTTATTATCCAACTAATTATTTTTGTTTTTTCTGTGTTCAATATACTGATAGAAACCGAAGTATTTTGATTTTGAACATGAGGCCATTAAGATAACATCTCAAATGTATGAGTATAAAAGTGCCATCAAGTATTCTTTATAGGTTTATTTATTCATAATAGTCATCAAGATAATTATCACGAATTTATTAATATTTAAGTGAAATCAAGTGGGGTTTTCTTACGGTATACATCTTTAGAGTTTTTGAGAAATATTTAAATTATAATTTAAAAGATATTCAATTTATTTAGGCTTCACAAATTCCTTTTTTTATTATGTTAATAACTATATCATGTCAAAAGAAAAGGTTTTATAAATATAAATAGTTGGTTGTGGAATGATAGTGGAATGTTGGTTGTGGAATGATAATGTGCAAAAAAAGATAAAATATAAGAAGTTATGTTATAAAAATTGATTTAAATGTAAAAGCTTAGAGAACTGATAAAAATATCAAACGACCAATGTGGAGTCTAAAAGAACAATTTGTCATGCCAAAAGTTATGCTTTTAGTGATCTTTATAAGAGATTATATACTAAGGAGGGTGAAAAATATATCTATAAACTAGCCAAATAAAGTGAAAAGAAAAGTAAAGATTTAACTCACGTAAAGTGTATTGAAGATGAAAATCAAAAAGTAATTTTCTTAGAAAAAAATATTCGACATAGGTAGTTGAGTTATTTTGATAAACTTTTTAGCGAAGTTTCTGGAAATACGATCGATCTAGTGATCTTAGTATGATTAATAATAATAAAACGTTTCATTTTTACCATTGGATTAGTAAAAAAGAAGTTGATGAGGCTTTAAAGAAAATCAAGGGTGGAAATGCTGAGGACCTGATGATATCCCAATTGAAGTGTGAAAATATTTAGGAGATTTGAGAGTTTCTTTGGCTTACTAAACTCTTTAATATTATTTTAAAAACTAAAAAGATGCCCGAGGAGTGGAGGAAGAGTATTTTGGTACCTATTTTAAAGATTAAAGGGGATGCACAAGAGTGTGCAAATTGTAGAGGAATTAAGTGGATGTGTTATACTTTAAAATCATGAGAGAGGGTAATTGTACATAGGTTAAGTCGTAGTACAAAGATTTCTCATAATCAATTTGGATTTATGTCGGGCAGGTTTACTATGGAAGCTATACATTTATTGAGAGGTTTGATAAGAAGTTCAGAGATAATAAGGAGGATCTACATTTGATTTTTATTGATTTAGAAGAAGCTTACTTTAATGTTCCAAGGGATATCCTTTGGAGAGTTCTTGATATGATTTATATTGAAGTCATTAAAGATATGTATACTAGAGTTACTTGTGTTCGGACCGAAAGGAGGATTGACCAAATATTTTCCTATTTCTGTTGGTTTACATCAGAGATCAACTTTAAGCCATATCTTTTTTGCTTTAGCTATGAATGGTCTTACTAGACATTTACAGGAGGATGTACCTTGGTGTATGCTTTTTGCTGATGATATCCTTCTTATGGATACGACGAG